GGCATTAATTATGGTGGTGTATCGGGCGGAGGGAAGGGGAGGAGAAGGGAGGGAGCGGAATACGCCGACGTAATTTCCTGTAATGTAATATCATCTTGCCGGTGGCATTCTTTCGCGAGCAGTCGATGTTGCGAAAATAGAAAAGGAAGAAAGCGGACTATCGGAGAAGAGAATAATGAATTTTCGGCTCTGAGAATTATTGCGAGTGACGCGTCGCTATACGCCATATATATATATATATATATATATATATATATATATATATATATATATATATATATATATATATATATATATATATATAAAAGTATATTTGGTCGCGCTTGATAATATAATTATATAACGTATACTTCTCGAGCGACAGCAAGGAGTATTAGAGCCGCGCTCCGCTAAGTACAATAATTTTCTGGCTTCGGAGCACGGAATACGGGAGCACCCCGCGAGATGAAGAAATTACGTAAATTCGAAGCGCGCGCGGAGAAAACGACGGCGGCAGCGGAGGCGGCCCTTAATGCGACCGAGTGAAAAGCGATTCGCGAAATTACAGTCCCGGCATGCGTCATCTGCCTTAATTTACATGTTTACCGGTGTGCCGAGCAGCACCGATAATTTATTATTTACAATGATGCGATCGGAAGATACCGCCGAGTGGCTGAGATAGATAGAAAGAGAAAGAGAGACAGAGCAGGCATGGTAGTCCCGGGGGCGGTTGGGGAGAATCGCGCGGGAGGATCAGAAAGTAGCGCGCGGGGATAATTATTTGTAGCCGCGGTTAAGCGTATGTAATTTCGAGAGTCGGTAGCGGCAATCGATCATCGCGATCAGATACAGAGACGGGCCCCGGAGGATAAGCGGGCCTTCCCGCGGGCGCGGGCCCTGGGAGGCGGAGGGGCCCCGGGAGCGTCGGGGCCCCGAAGAGATAAGCTCGCGGCATGGGGTAGTCGTAATTATCGAGACACGGACGGCCGATGATCCTCTCGGGGCTACTTATTTCGCCACATCATCGATATCTTGTGCGCCCGTACGCCTCTAATCGCCGATCGGTCGTGCGCGCTTAACGTTTACCGGCGGCGGCGTAACGACGAGCCGTCGAGTTAACGCTGTGAGTGAGAGAGAGAGAGAGAGAGAGAGAGAGAGAGAGAGAGAGAGAGAGAGAGAGCTGAGAAGAGTATATTCATGATTTTACCTAATGGTCACAATGCTCGAACCTTCGGCCGTTTGAGTCTAATGGTCGTGATGGTCGATCGTTCCTAATTTAATCCTTTCTGAGCAATACGCCACGAGATTGTATTCTCTTGAATATCTTGGAGTGAGATCTTACTCAAAACGAGCGAAAAGTCAATCGAGTCAATCGGTGACAGTGAAAATGCTGTCATTCAGAATCGCAAGAGTGAATATTTTAACCCTTTAAGTCACACGAGGTGCAATGTAGTCAGTAGAAGAAAATCGCAATACTCTCCTCTCAATGAATTTCGGAACGCATCCAGAATTGTTTTTCTATAGTAAAATATTTATTCAATAATTCAAAGTGAAAGGAAAGATTTATTAATGAAAAATTGCCCAACCTCAAGTGACAATAACGAAGTACAAGACAACGATATAAATATATTTAGCACATTTTCCACTATCATCTCTGGACTTTATGAAAAAATATTATATCCGGATTCGCGACAGAGAGTGGGATATCAAACGCGCCATTTTCGTGCTACGAGTCCGTGGTGAACGTTAAAGTCACACGTGACAGCCGGCGCATAACACTGCACGATACAAGAACGAATTCCCGCTAACTGGATTTTCTGCGATAAATCAGCTTAACCGAGTGCGCGTTTACTGAGGCCGAGGCGTGGCTAATGAAGCATCTGCGAGCGAGCGAGCAGGACGTGCCGATGATCGGCAGTTTCGACGACGGTTCGAGTTTCTCACCGACTCCTTCCTTCCTTCGGCGCATCGCATCGCATCTCTTAACGGGTCCACGGACGTGGCAGGCTCGTTTATAACTCTCCGACCTCTTTCTCTTTCCCTGTCTCTTTCTCTCTGGCTCGATAAAAATAAATCGCACTACGCCCGCGTCCGTATCGTTTATCAATCGGGGCTCGCGCCAACCGACGGGCCGCGTCGCTTGTTCTCGTATAAAAAATTTCTTGGGATTTAATTGGGATGCAGGCCGATTCCTCAAAATAATTATGGGTTCTGGTTAGAAATATAATGTTTCAAACGTACGATTCTAGGTGGGGATACCCAAAGTTTTCCAAATATTTTCTCTGATCTTTATCTTACGTTAGAATTGAATTTCGACTTTCCAAGTAATTTCCTTTCTGATGTGTATGTGTGTGCTCAAAGTATTTAAAAAATATTTTAATTTTTTATATTTTACTCTATTGAATACAATAGTTGGTTTAAAACTAAAATTCCCTGATGCCATAAAAGTATACTGACATTACCGATTGGAAAAAGCGCAAATATAAACCCATAATATTACTGTTCCAATTCTAGCCAAAAAATTTACATCTGGCATAAATATGGCAGTAGAATAACCAATTTTAGAACAAAAAGTGCAACCTGAATTTCGCCTCTTTTCCATGAGATTTTGTAAAACTCTAAATATTCCAATAAATGATGCATTAATTTGAAATTTAAGACGATTAAAAATATAAAATCTCAATATTGTTTTCATAATCTTGGGAGATAAATAGGCCAAAGAATTACAATCTCAACAAATAACCATACTACTGAGATCGCGACAATTTAGACCGTTTATCTTCTGAATGACTACGAGAACAATATCGAGATTTTATATTCTTAATCTATTCGACATAAGCTTCAAATCGGTGTATTATTAATTGGAATATCCAAAGCTGTTAAAAAAGAAGCGAAATGTGATACTTGGTCGCACTTTTTGAACATTCTAACCGGAATCTATGCTGCATCCGAGAAAATCTTTGGAAATTTCTGTGCGGATTATATCGTCGTGGAGTGTTGAGCACTTACCGAGCAGCGTTCCCAATTTAGCGCAATGTCGAATCACCCAATCTCGCCGGGAGGACGAGCGAGACCCGCGTCTTCTTCTGCGTTCGTGTGCGCGCTTCTCCATCTGGAAGCAGAGATCGCAGCCGGATGATGTAATTGGACAGTCCGCGATGAATACTGTAATTTTTCCGCGGAGCCGCTTATCGACGCGATATACACGTACGGATTATTGCCGGCCGGACTGGAGAAAGTGCAACGTTTACGAATCATTAAGAGCGTTTAATGAAGTGTCTATCACGATGATGAGTAAAATTGCTTCTCGCTCCTCTCGCTCGGATTGTCCGCCGCTAATCGCGCGTGTACGTGTACACGTGTACGTGAGATACGCGTCTAGACTCGTGGAGCCTCGGGATCGACTTTTTGTTCCGGCCTGCTCCACCTTCGCCCCCAGGGTATATCATATAAATTTATATGAGTAGCTGATGCACGCACGCGCTATCCCTATCCGACGGGATGCCATACGTTTGTACATTATTACTCGTGCTTAAAGTGTTCAGCTTATTTCGCGTCAACTGCCCGTTTGACAGCCTGAAGACGTCGACTCTTTGCGAGCGACATTCTGGAGCATGGAGATCCACTCGCGGATCTCTCTTAAAGTGAATCAGCGAAAATGTTTCCGAGTGAATCAGTGAAGAGAGCGTTTCACGGATCACTGGTGAATTTTCGTTGATTTTCAGTGGAGAAACATTTTCTCACTTTACTCATTTATTTTTATGTCAGATCTTGGACGTGCTAAGAAAACTTGCGATCCCACCACAAAGTCCGCAGTACTCTCTAAATTTTGTTGAAGCGAAATTTCACTCGAAACCGAGTGACCGTCGCGTTATTTGAATCCAAGTGAATTTTCATTTATATAGGGTGAATTTTTCATACTGAATCGTTGAGTATTTTCATTCAAAATTGAAGAGTGAATCTAATATATCTCGCTGTCACAGAAATATATTTATTTTGATTGGTCGAATTTCTGCCACGTTTTGAATGAGAAATTTAAAGTACACAAATTCGTTATACGCTATACAGAATTAAATTTTTTCCACTTGGAAAACGCTTTCCGTGCACCTTGTGTGTGATGCAGTTTCTAGCAGAGACCTCGCCCGGGAAAAATTCAAGTTCGACAATCGACATTGAAGCGACGTGATAAAAAAGAAGGCTCTAGATAATTTGTCCTCGATTGTTCCACGAGTCACCAAGGGGCGCATCGAAATAACGCCTTATTGTTAAAAAAAATGCTTCGAAACGAAAACACACCGCGTTATTAATTCACAAGAATCCATTGTGCTCTTTGTCCCTTCCCGTATCAGTGTTCTCCACTCCAATCTTGCCGCCCCTCCACGTCCGTCAACATTCTTATCGTCGCGTCTAACATGGTTACCGGCGCGATCGCTATCGGACCCATAAAACCGCGAGAGCCAACTCTCTCGCTCTCCGTCCCGAGGCACCCAAGTTGCCATTTTAAGCAGCGCCGTTTCTTCCACCCTCCTCTGCATCCTCCTCTCGTGTGCAATCGCTCGCCGTTGAGAGATGTTCGGCTGAATCGCATCTCTGCCTCTCCAACAGCTTCACCCACTCTCCCCCCCCCCCCCCCC